CTTCACACCTCTCTCTATTTAGATAGATACATTGGAAAAGGTGTATGTATAATCATGCTGTAGTATTATTAGATGACAATCACAGTTTAAATAAAATATTTTAAAAAATAATTCTCTCTATAATTGAGATTAATTAACAAGATAAACAACATGAATAACATTATAGTTATATAATTAGGAACAATATGTAGAGATAATGAATGTAAAGTTAAAGATATTTATAAATAATTATTTATTTATTATTATTATTAGAAATGTAATTTTTAATATACACTTACCAATGGCTAAATGAAGACGGTGGCCAAAACACTGCTCGTCCAGTCATTTAGTTGCAGCGCTTTGATGTTGTTTGTGGCATTATCAGTGGTGACACAGAGTTGACGCTCCTCTCGCAATCCCCATGACTGAAGCGCTTCCTTTAAGCTTTGCGCGATCATCTCTCCAGTGTGATCTTCTGGAAAGTATGAAGTCTGCAGACATCTACTCCACAATGTCCAGTCATTGATGAAGTGGATTGTTAAGCTCATATACGGCTGTGTAGTTCGGCTCGTCCACAAATCGGTTGTAATTGCGAAGTATAAAACATTGGCAAGCTCCTGTTCAAGTTTCCCTCGGCATTCTCTGTACAATCGTGGCAACTCAACTTCGCTAAAGTGCTTGCGGCTCGGTATCACATATCTCGGATCAAGGGTTTTGATCAAGTCTCGAAACCCCTTCTTTTCCACAGTGTAAACTGGTGCCATGTCTTTACAGATATACATCGTAATGGCCTGTGTTATTTCTTTCCATCTCTTTGAGCTTTTTTCATACGCGATGCCTTTAGTAAAAGATTCGGCTAAACTAGTTTGAATCTGAGGTGATTGCATTGTTTTGGTTTTAGCATCGGAGGTTGACGGACCGCTTGATGTTTGGCGCATTTTTTGGCTTTCATGAAATTCACGTGCGTGTTTCATTTTGAGGTGATAAAACAAATTACTTGTGCTAGCGCTGCTAGTGAGCACATTAGCTCTACTTAGTTTGCAAATCACGTTTTTCTGGTCTTTGTCAGATTTTGCAAACCCAAACCATGTCCACACCACAGATGTCGCACCTCTTTTAATAACAAGATCCTCCTCCTCCTGCTCGGGATTGCTGTGTGGGTCCTCCTTATCATGTGCTTGTTCATCTTTCTCCATGTTTCAAATGTGCAAACCCGCAGCTTCTTGATCAGTCTCATGTGCAGCGTCTCGCTCAGTCTCACGCGCGCTGCACGCAAGTAAACCACGCCTACTTATTTGCATTTCGCGGTATACACGGAATAAAAAAATCTGTTACGGTTGACATTTTCTACCGCGGTAACGATATATACCGTCATACCGCCCAGCCCTAGTTTTAAACAGAATTGTTCTATAGTCTATGCAGTATTTAATGCAATGACATCATATTTTACTTTATATTACAGAAGAATTAGGAGTAATCCCTTTAACTAAATGACAGTATTAAGATTACTTGGTAATTACACCCAACACTGTATAACAGTAATTCAAATGTAAACTTACGCATTGATTCGAGCAACTATTTTCTCCCAAACTAACTCTCTCGATCGCCGCTGCTGCCGTGTTACTTAAAACTTTTTTTTTTGCACACTGCTGGTGAGAAATATGCAGACCTCTTTTTGTCTGGCGCTGTTACCATGGTGACTCATAATATCTGCGCTCCATTGATAATGGCTTTTTATAGTTGTGGTGCACGCGCTTAACTCAGAGTCAGTCAACTTAGAGTTGATTGAACTTACTCATTTCAGCTGTTCTGTAACCGAAAACTTAGAGTTTCCCATCTCAGGGTAAGTCAACTCAGAGTTCAAGTTTTTACTCAGAGTTGGTTGAACCTCCTTATTGAAACGGGCCCCAGGAGACTTACCTGTCTATGTAGTGTGTCCTGAAGGTCAGGATGGGCCAACACGCACATTACATCGTGATCTGCTCTTACCTTGTGGTTTTCTTTCCAAAGAAGAGGAAGAGGTAGTCGAGCCAAAACCAGCACGTAGGCTCAGAACAAGGCAGACACTTCCCCAACCAAGTGAACAACTTATTAGTTCAGATGATGATGATATTGAATCTCAATTCTACCCCATCAAAGTCTCGGAGGTAGAGACAAAACTGTTTAAGGTTTTGGATATGCTTAAGGAAAATGGTGAGGTAGCTCGCAGAAGAAGCACACCTGCTGGAGCTGAATACTTACCTGTTGATTCTGAAACCCTACCTGACATGGAACAACAAACCTTACCTGGAACCTTACCTGACATGTCCTCTGCTGGAAACAGCCCTAATCCCATGGATTTGGAACTTGAGGAAAACTTACATGTTGCAGTTGAACTTGAGAAAAACTTACCAGTTGCAGTTGAACTTGAGAAAAACGTACTTGTTGGAGTTGAACCTGAGGGAAGAACTGGAAAAATGGATGGAGCTAGGGAAACAGAGACCGTAAATGAAATCAACACACCCCAAATGGAAAAGGAACCATCAGTACAACATCCAGATGAGTACCTACATGAGCAACTTGCAATGGGAAGAGAGGATTCACAATGTCAGTCTCAAAAGAATGGCCCCCAGACAGTTACAACCAGTGACCCGAGTTCTACTGTTGAAACAGACAATGACATCAATGAGACAGCCAGTGAACAACCTCGTAGGTCAGAACGTTCCAGAAGAGCACCTGGGAAATTTACATACCCTCATCTTGGCAGTCCCTTGATTTATTTTGCCCAGACCATTCTAGAAGGATTCAATCGAGCTTTAGTTGAAACGTTTGAAAGTAATCATTTGGTGGAAAAGAGGACATGAAGGGACTCATGTCAGTTAAGGGGGGGGGGGGGGGGGGGGGGGGGTAACCCAGTGACAATACAGGGTTAAGAGAATTAAAAAATGTATTAAAATAGCATAATACACCTTTAGGGAAATTAGCCAATCAGGAGTGATAGTTCCTCCCCCAGCTGAACATGATTGACAGGTCACGACGCAACTGCGTGATCCGGAGAGAACCTGCGCGTGTGTATGTGAGAAAGAGAGAGACGACGAACAAACTTGATGGTGACAAGAGAAAAGAGGAAATTAACAGATTTAAAGTTAACAGAGTGATAAAAGTGAGTGTATTAGCAAGCTAAAGAACCAACACTGAAGACAGGATAAGGAGAAGCAACCGGGAGTTTGGAAAAAAATCCCATTTTCCACCTCTATTTGTCTCGGTCAGGTCTTATGGACAGAGAGAGAACTACTTGGAAGATCCCTTTGTATCGATGGCGAGCCTCCCAATGTGATCTTGAAGAGACGCAGACCAACTCATCGAACACTTGGTAGGAACTGGTAGGAAAGTATCAGTCGCCTGAGCTGGTACACACACTTCATCCAAAAGTGCCAACTTTCTTCTTAAACAAGCAAACTGTCACAGAACTGGTGACACACACTTTAACAGAGAACTATTGACAGTGGATTGACTAATTTACTATTGACTAAAGACAGACTTTAACAACTACAAAAGAAAAAAAAACAAAGACTCATTTATTTTCAAAGGGCCCAATTTTTTATTTTTCATGTATGCTATGTAATTGTGTTTCAATTGTTACTTGCAACGTAATGTGAGTAAAAGTTACTGGTTACAACTTACCTGGTCTGATACTTCCTTTTATGGGTACAGTTTATATCACTTAGCTCCTTCCGAACCTAGCATAGTGTTAGCTCATATTTAGAGGGTAGCACGGTTACAAATAGAATTGCAATACTAAAAAGAGACTAAAATACAATTTTCATTGACTAAAACTAGACTATGTCTTTCGTCGACTAAAACTAGACTAAAATGTCATCAGTTTTCGTCGACTAAAACTAGACTAAAATGTCATCAGTTTTCGTCGACTAAAACTAGACTGAAATGTCATCAGTTTTCGTCGAATAAAACTAGACTAGACTAAAAAGAGTATAAACGTGACTAAAACTAATAAAAACTAAAATGACAGCTTGACACAAAGACTAGACTAAAACTAAAATTAAAACAGGCCGCCAAAAACAACACTAGTTACAAGAGGTAAAAACAATATAAATACTGTTCGTTTTCTCACACAAACCGCTCGTTTCGTGTCTTAGGCCATCAATGTGTACTTACATTTACGAGTCATTAAATCATGTTTAATTTTCGACTTATCTGTGCATGCTCTTTGAGGTGGTGACCATAGACCTGCATTATATGACTGACAGACAAGAACGGTTTGACCTAAAAATATCAAAATTGAAACTACTGCGGAAACAAAGACACCTACATCTTGGATGCCCTTGAGGTAAGCTAAAACATACCAAAAATGTATTTCAAAGTGAACTATCCCTTTAAGTTATATAATGGTAACTTTTGGACTCATCTTCTTCTGCACCACACCCTGACACAGTGCTCTTAGATTGTGACAGAATTAAGTCAATTAAAGGGACTCATGCACAACTATTTAAAAAAATGCAAACATTCACTAATGCTCAAGAAGGCAACACAATCTAATAAGAGGCAGGATAGTGATGTGTAAATAGTCTTCTTTTTTTAAAGCTTTTTTTCTCATTTAGGACTGCCCTTCAAAAGCCTCAGTCATGAGATATTAAGATTATTATTTTATTTTTTTACATGATGGTGGAAAAGTATCACAGTTTGAGGAATCTTAAACTAAATTGAGATAGTTGAATCGGATCTGAAACCTACTTCCAAAGGACAAAAGAGAGGAAATAACCATAATATCAAAAGGGGTGAATAAAACAAGTTTTGCTCAATACAGTATTTTCAAACTAAAAATATGAGTTGCCTTTTTATAATATATGATATATTAAGTTTGTTCTTGTGAACTGAGGGGGTGATGGGGACTTTGCATAGGATCAAGTGGTTTTGCAACATTTCACAGACTGAATGATAAAGGTTTTGCATATTATAACAATTTTCTTCAAAACTAAAGAATTTGAAATACAAATTTTGACCGAGGTATATCATATATCATGATGAACGCCATCTGCTTTAGACTCGCTCCATTATTTTGTACTTTGGTTGTCATTTCATCTGGTGAGGATCAGTCAATGAATAGCTTGATACATTTTAATAAATGAATAGCTAAGTAGAATTTAGAACAAACTCACTGTTAAATTACAGCAGTCTGGACAGCAGGATCAGAGTAACCTGGTCAAAACGGTGTGACAGTATGACCAGAATCAAAGGACAAATAGAGGAGCGAGGGCACTGGGGCAGCAAAGCAGAGTTTCTTCTGGCTGTGGCAGGGATTGTGATTGGTCTGGGTAACGTCTGGAGGTTTCCTTACCTCTGCTACAGGAATGGAGGAGGTATGAGGCAGCTTAAATACACAAATGAAAAATTTGAAATTTCATTATTTTAGTGGTTACAAATATGAATGATCTACTTTACCTTTCTGGCATTTTAATAATGTTTTATTGTACTGATGTGTTCAGGGGCGTTCCTAATACCCTACCTGGTGTTTGTGATTACCTGTGGGGTGCCACTGTTCCTGCTAGAGACGGCTATGGGACAGTACACACAGGAAGGGGGCATTACATGTTGGCATCGTCTCTGTCCACTGGCTGAAGGTGAGTCAAAATATTTAAACAATTTTAAATTCATTTTATCTGCATTCTTTGTGCAGGTGGGATTTGCACAGGCAAGCAACACTTAAATTTTCTGAAGGCAGTGTACCAATTGAGTCAACATTATTATTATTATTATTTTTCTATGGCTGCCCCTGGAATCGTTTTATAAAAGAAGGTGAAATTTTGCATACTGAAGTGCATTTTTATATTTGTCTATTTGAAAATCATGGTTTCTGGTTAGAACCTTAAGCAAATAAAAAGAATTTAAGTATTAAGTATTTTCTCTTCATACCTCTGTTTATGTGTAGAATACATGGCTAGGTTTACTGACTGCAGAAATTATTGTGAGTTTTATTTATTTATTTTAGGGTTTTTTTGTGCATAACAGAAAACATTAAATATATTATTTAAAATACAAATTAGTAAACATTAAGGTCTTTTGAAGTCTTTTGTCTTTAAGTATAGTTTTAGTTTTACCATCTACTTATGTTATAATTATAACTTATTCAGCTTTTGTTTATGTTGAAGTTGGTAAAAGACAAAAAATAAATAAATAATATTGACCTACATTAAGTAAGATTTTGCCTTGTGTCGAAAGAAAATATATTGAAAAAAAGGGAAAACACAGACTGTCCGATTTTGTCACTTTATACTTTGTTTGATGCGTTTGATTTCATTTTCGAGGACTTTTAGGCATAGTGCGAATTACAGGGGGTACTGGGGGGTACTATACCCCCCAATGAAGACCCAGTACCCCCCAAAGTGACAGAAATATCAGTTTTGGGGGGGTCAGATATTTTTCTGATATTGTGAAAAAATATAATTACAGTTACAATACAAGTCAACTCCTATTTTCACTGTAGGAACATTTTAATGTAAAGCGATTTCAGCGAACACCCCTATTGTGGACCGTATCATTTTTAACCACCGTGGAGATAGAGAAGGGCAGCTAGCCGAGTGAGTTGTTGTTGTTGTGCTCCTGCTAATGTACGGACAAAGTTGCGCTGTTGCGGCTCGCGCAGTTATTTATAACATTAATTTATAGTTAAGAAACAATATATAGGCTACACACGACCAGAGTGCTGTTTTCCTGAATGCCATCACGATTGAAACCGAGATATTGATTTCATAACAGTTCGATAAACAAGTAAAATAGTTCAAATTAAGTTACTTACATTTTTAGACGCAATGACTGTTTTTGTTCTGTTTCAGCTGCGAAAATAGTTCCAAACAACAGAACCACAGCGCATCTCAGAGCAACACTCATCCATGATTCATTACTGAATAATTCAGCGTTTTGAACTAATCGCTCGAGTCAAAGATTCAATTACCCATTATTAAACCGCCTCATTCTGAATAAATCAGCCGTTTGAACGTTTTGATTAAATGAATGACTCAATGGGCCCTATCTTGCACTCGGCGCAAATGACTTTGTACACTGACGCATGTATCATTCCTATTTTGCACCCACGCAAAGCGGGCTTTTCCCTCCACAGACACACGTCGGTTAACTAAGAAATACACTTGCGCTCCCCGGGGCGGTTCAGCGCAAAAAGGAGGCGTGTTCTGGCGCAAACTTTCCCTCATGCTATTTTGCTGTTCTATGTAACAAATGCGCCACTGACCAGAAAAAAATATTCTAAAGTCAGTGGCGCGTTGCGCGTTGTTCATTATGCTATTTTAAGGGCGCATGCTTGGCCATAATCAATGTAGCGTGTGCACAACGCGCATACACTTTGATTCTCTCATCTAAGCAGCAGTTTTCATTTTTGCAAATCATACATTATTACGATAGATAGATAGATAGATAGATAGATAGATAGATAGATAGATAGATAGATAGATAGATAGATAGATAGATAGATAGATAGATAGGCAATTTATTATAAAAGCATACACACTAAAAACTCCTGGGTCAAAAATAACCCATAATGGGTTATTTTTGACCCAACTCCTGGGTTAAAAAGGGACCAACTAATTTATGGGTTATTTCAACCCAGAAAATTGGGTTATTCTTTTTGACCCAACTTCTGGGTTAAATACCTGACCCAAAATTTTGGGTTAAAAAAACCCAACACTGTAGTTAATATAACCCAACTTCTGGGTCAAAAGAACAACCCCAATATCTGGGTTTAAATAACCCAGAAATTAGTTGGTCCCTTTTTAACCCAGGAGTTGGGTCAGAAATAACCTAACTTGGGTTACTATGCCAGTATGCCTTATTTCAGAAAATAAAACTTTGTTTTAAATTATATTACACACTTCAAGCACTTTTACATTTTTATTGCATTAAATTAAACTATATATATATATATATAAAAAAACACACACACACTTGGACATCTTTATTTTCCTATTTATTTTAGGTCAGACTGTAATAACAATATTAGAAAGAAAAAATAGAAAAATAAACAACTCTCAAAACATTTGACAACATTCAATAACTTGATTGAACCTAAGGCTTAAAGGACAAGTTCAGTATTTTACACTTAAAGCCCTGTTGTCAGAGTTTCTGATGAAATAAAACGGTTAAGATTGAAAGTTGGACACATGCTGCTGGCCCGAGAATTTCCGGTTTCTGTGGTAGCACCCCCCCCCCCCACCTCCACAATGGCTGCATAGGTGCACTGGAACAATCCTTCCTAAAACACATTAAACTTTCGTTTACAAAGACGTTAAACTCACCGAGTGGTCCGGGGTGTTCACTGATATGCGCACACAAAAATCGCTGCAAAAGATGCTTTCCAACAGGTTTTATCGTAGTTAATCGTAGGACTGTTCCAGTGCACCTATGCAGCCATTGTGGAGGTGGGGGGGTGCTACCACAGAAACCAAAAATTCTCGGGCCAGCAGCATGTGTCCAAATTTCAATCTTAACCGTTCTATTTCATCAGAAAAGATCTGAAAACAGGGCTTTAAGTGTAAAATACCGAACTTGTCCTTTAAAGGACAATTCCGGCGAAAAAATTAACCTAGGGGTTAATAACACATGGTTACCGAGTCGACCGTTCTCTGGGATTTGTTTTCATGATAATCGAATGTAAAGAGTTTTATCTCTAAAAACTGATTAGCTTATAACGCTAGTATATGGGGCATCGAATACAAGTAAAAAGAAATCGTTAGTTAATACCACTAACAAGGCTCAAAATAGCCTCACACTAACATGGTAGCATAATGAGGGTCCCTACATGCAAACCGAAGCATTGAGAACTGTGTAAGTGTACAGACAGTTTAAAAAGAAGATACTTTATAAAGACAGTACATTACGCGTACAGGCAGGAGCCATCTTTGGAAAACAGTCTCGACCAGTCGAGCCACGAACGCCGTGCTACGTGAGCTGGTCTATAGGTTTAAGTCACAGTTCAGCTGTCTTAGCACGGCGTTCGTGGCTCGACTGGTCGAGACTGTTTTCCAAAGATGGCTCCTGCCTGTATACGTGTAATGTACTGTCTTTATAAAGTATCTTCTTATTAAACTGTCTGTACACTTACAAAGTTCTCAATGCTTCAGTTTGCATGTAGGGACCCTCATTATGCTACCATGTTAGTGTGAGGCTATTTTGAGCCTTGTTAGTGGTATTAACTAACGATTTCTTTTTACTTGTATTCAATGCCCCATATACTAGCGTTATAAGCTAATCAGTTTTTAGAGATAATACTCTTTACATTCGATTATCATGAAAACAAATCCCAAAGAATGGTCGACTCGGTAACCATGTGTTAATTACCTCTAGGTTAATTTTTCTCCGTAATTCTCCTTTAAAGTCTTCAAACATTGGTTGTGTCTCTGGAGAGCTTCAGGGATTTAAGCCTGGGACAAACTTTGGGGACAAGATTTTTGATAGTGTCCTTGTCTAAGAGAAGAAATGCCTCCTCATCTATGGAGATGTCTTCATCTGAAAGACAGAAAACAAGACAACATGAGTATTATTATTAATAAGTCGAGACAATTGTGAACCACTCACCAGACACTCTTTGATTATAAAGCTAAAAAAATAATCACTTTTAAGGGAATGTTGTGTTGTTGTTTTTTAACGTGGCCCAATTTCCTAGTTAACTAATGTGGTAATTTTGCAGCATTACCCATTTAGTGTGAATGACAGTCTATACTACTGTCCATCTTTTCTTTCATTAACAAGAGTAATGACATTAATGGTGAATATCTGGCCTATTCTTATGCATAACAGCTTAAAGACAAGGCACAAGTATTTTTTTTTAACTATAAGGGTTATATAGATATGCATACTCCACTGTCAAAGAAGTTGTGACTTTCACAGAATCTTGCACCGACACATTTAAGCCCAATTAAAGACATTTTTTTAGGTATAGAGAGATGATATAAGGGCAGTAAGAGTAAAATGCTCACCTCTAAAATTCTCTATCAGCTCAGACAGCCGCCCCTCAGTTAGCATATCAGCGACAAAGCTGTCCATTTAAAATGACCTGGAGAAAACATAGTAATATAGAGGTTAGCAACAATTCGAAGACTTGACCCGCTTCTTTAATCTGTTAGGCTGCAAACCCCACTTTTGAAAAATCCCCAGAAATGGCATACCCAAACTGAAACAGATACAGTTCATGAACCCTTTGTACTAAAAGCATAAAATATGCTTTTCTTTTGTCTGCATTATAATTACTAACGACTGGCTGTTTTAAATAACCTTCTGTGATCTGATTTGGCTTCAGATAAAAAAATCAGACAAACAATATATTATTTTATAGTATTCTGCACGATGATAAAGTCTATATCCATTAGCATTACATTATAAATATAATCTATTATTATGAAAATACCTGGCATGGCTCGAAGAACACAGGTCAATCAAATATCATTGCAATCATGTTTATTGTCTTCGCAACATCTTTATATGCATGTTACAGCGATCTCTGTTAGCTTTGTTTATGTCAGGGACGTCCTGGAATGTCACATGATTATGACTTCTTAGTGTGTAACATATATGGACTACATGTGCATAGGGCGCCCTCAGGCTGCTCTTATGGATTGAAAACACAGCATCAGAGTATCCAGTGCTCATAATTATTACATCGACACATTTGGGTATAAATTCAATAAATATTATTCCTGTCTATAGAACTCTGATGTAAACCTATGAGAATCTATCAATATTTCTCCAAATCTGCAAATTGTTTAGCTAAAAGCCCTGAGGCACGTTGTTTTGTCAAGCTGTCATGACGACAGCACAGGATTTTTTTTTTTTTCAATGAGAGCGGCTGACGATCATAATTCATATTAAAGTTATCGACTATATTTTTAATAACTTCTGACACAAATTAAGACATAACTGTCAATATAAGTTTATCAGAATACAATAGTGGTCAAATACTGAAACTTGAGTCATATGATGTATAGTTTGTCACGGTAATAACATTAAATCTTATAGTAACTTTGAACTATTTAACCAAAAAACGCTTCAGTGCGCGGCACACTTGCAAAGTTTAACAGGTTTTAACTCTCACTACTTCAGCCAGTAGAGCACTGTATAATATGATAAGCACGGCGCAGCTGGTAAAAATAACTCAACGATTGTGTTGTCGCTCTAGTAGTGATGGGAAGTTCGGTTCTTTTCCGCGAACCGGTTCTTTCGGACAGTTCGTTTCAATGAACCGGTTCAAAAAACCGGTTCACCAGTTCTTTTACGTCCTCGCGTAATGACGTCAATTATATCATCCCGGCGGATAAAAATACTTTAAATTAAAGGCATTTGTAATCATAACTTCACTTAAATAATAGTACTCATCGTAATAATCCTCTTGGATAAGTTTCTTACATTTACATTTTGCAAACGAACCCTGTAGCCTACAGGCGATGTGCAAACGCGGATGTTTAACATGTCTTAAATATATAAAGTGCATAAGTGGTCTTCATCATTTTATTTGTAATAAACTTACATTTCGCCGAATTCGGCCCCTCATTTAAGTCCTCGGTTCACCCGTGCTGCGTGCTCATCAGCACATCATCAGTTGGCTGAAAGAAAGTTCTGTTTAGAGACGGTGCTATCACGCATGCTCAGTATCTCCAGCTCATCGGTTCTCCGTTTTGAACGTGTCCGAAAGAAACAGTTCTCGGTTCTGTACTGGTGATTCAAGAACTGCAACAACCAGTTCTTGACTCCAGAACCGTAGCATAGGCTGTGTGCTGAGCTGAGAACTGCTGAAACCTGAATATACAGTCGACAAAACTAAAAAAATCGATGCATGTCTTTCTTCTCCAATATGTTTAATACGTTATGTTTTAACACATTATAAACATTTACTAAGCAGTACTGTGCAGTGTGCACCATTAAAACTTTTGCAAGAGTTTACATCAAATATTTATATCAACTTACTTAGAAATTAAATGAGCAGTTCCTGAAAATATTATTTTAATAAATGTTTAGTTTGACAGTTTTACAATCCATTCATTGTGTTTCCAAACTTTAAAATAATGTGATAAACATGTTTCCAACATGTTTTTTTTTATTACACTTACTGATGTTCAACTAAATAAATACTTAAGAAACGTACATTTCGTCCCTCAGAAAAAAATTGCACGCGTGCTCAGCTCATCGATCAGTTGTTCTCATTATGTCGAACGTGTCCGAAAGAAACAGTTCTCGGTTCTGTACTGGTGATCCGATAACCGCTGTACATGTGCGTTCGGTAGTACGCGCATGCGCAGTATCAGCTCGTGCTCATCACTCTCAAAAACAGCACGTTTCAAACTGTTGGATTTACTGGAGTGAAATATACTCCGGGATATTGGTTTATTTCGAGTCAGAGGGACTGTCAGGCATGTCTGAAAGTGAGTAACTTTAGTAACTTGTGTATCAGCACTAACGCAAGACGTGAACTGTTTCGAACGATTCAGTCCGATTTAGTGTACTGGTTCGACCGGTTCACTTAAAAGAACCGGTTCAAAAGAACGATTCGTTCACGAACCGGCCATCACTACGCTCTAGCCGCGACGTTGCCACTAAGTTAGCTGCACTGTAGCTACGTTACCGTATTATTGCCGTTATTATAACAATGAGATAAGTACAGCACATGTTATGAAAAATAGAATTTAAAGACCTTTTAAAGTGAATTCAGTAATTTTCTTCTAAACACATTAAATAGGTCATAATGTATTTCTCAACAATGTGTAAAAAGCATTTCACCCATTTTGTTCATTTCACCCTAATTTCATGAACCTAGCGTTATTTTTAATCATTTCAAACTGTCTGGGTGGTTAATAACACTTTCTTCTTTAGTCTGACAAACTCAAAACACATATTTATTTTGACTTTACAAGTTAGATGTTTTCGCGATAGTGTAGCTAACGTACATGACAACCACAATTACCACAGCTAACACTAGTCTCAACGTAGCAACTATAAGCCATGGTAACTTTTTCAGCAAATGGTGCTAAACTAGCAACGGGGACATGGACACAGAAAATATTACATTATACCAACACTGAAAATACTCGCTTACCTTGAATACACGACGAAGTTGCATCGAGGAAGCACAGGCCAAAACGGATCGAGCGCGAAGTGTCGGTTATTTCAAATGACTGTTGTGAGAAAATTCCAGAACAACTGCAGGGGGGAGGGGCCGAGGGGGGACCCAGAACATGGGTTACTCTTTGAAAAATAACCCAGAAACTCAAACAACCCAGGAATTGGGTCAAAATATTAGCCCTATAACCCAGAAAATGGGTACTCTCTGAAAAAATAACCCATAATTTTAACCCAACACAAATAACCCAGAAAATGGGTTGAAGAAATAACCCAGGAGTTTTTAGAGTGTACATGTAGCTTACACATTTACCCAAATTATCATACGCCTGTTTAACAGAAGTTAATTTGGGTGGGTTTCTACATCCCCAATGTCACTTCTCTGTGTTTTACGGCCCTGACGAGAACGTTGCTCTCCTCGGCTGTGAACCGCTCCTGGCGCGCGCCTGGCAAATCCGCCGTTATAATAGGAATCCGCTTTAGAACAAGCGCGCCTGCTCTTAAAGGGAATGTGAGATGACGCTCTGATTGGTTTATTTCACGTTACGCCCAAACCACACCTATGAATAATGAAGCTACTTCAGACCAACCCCTTTTAGATTTGCGCCAGGCGCAAGAGGCATTTATCCCGCCGGGAAAATAGCAACAGCGCCGGGATCCGCCCACAAAGTTACTTGCGCTTTGCGCTTTGACACTTGCGTTTCAGATCGTTAAAATAGGGCCCAATGAATCGCTCACTAAGACGGCCGCCTGCCGCCTCCTACTGGCGGTTTAGTTTCAAAGTATCATTCTTTTCAACATTCCTTATATTATTAAAAAAATATTTAAAACAATCTCATAATCTCATTTAATACAGTTATAATTTTTCAATGTAAATTATTTAATTTGATTGGCCGCTAGGCTGTCTTATTATTTTAATTGAATGTAGCCTATTAATAAAATGTAAGAATTTGAAATGAAATTTAGAGCATACATTAAATAAAATTAAGGAAAACTGCCCTTTTATAAAGGTACATAAAATTATTCAGATAAGAGTGTTTTCAAAAATGAGGGAAGGAGCAGTACCCCCCAAATTATGGTGGGGTAATTCGCACTCTGCTTTTAGGATGCTTATCGTTTTGTCCTGATTCCTTTGTTTCATTTTACTATGATTTCCTTTGTTTGTTACTATGGTTATTGATTAAGTAGTTAAAAGATTTCTAGTTAAAAAACACCCTCTCAAGTCAAAATTTGAATCACAACTTCAGATATAGGAAGAAATGTATGATAGCTTGTAAAGGAAGCATTAGTCCTTCAGTTTGTTCTGTTCCTTGTATTGTTTTTGCCTTGCACGCTGTTTCATTGAGTTTGCTAGTGTCGGTTTACCTGAGTTTACTTTGTTTAATAAGTATGCTGCACTTTGATCAAGCCTTTGCATCTCATCTTCTTCATTGGACTTAAAACGTGACAGATTTATTGAATCATATATTTGTGTTCTACAAAAATATAGTTTTTCTCTTCTAAATTTAAATTTCTTTGCTTTCAATTAATGTCAATCTCTAAATGTGACATCTATTACATATATACATATAAATATTTATATATAAAATCACTTTGAGACTACTTCATTTGGTTACTTAAAAATAGCTTAATTCAATGAGTCAATAACTTCATTTAATGGTCCCTATGAAATGTGTTGACTGTGCCCCTGGTGATCTGTTTTTCTGTTTGCTTTTTTCAGGTATTGGCTATGCGGGACAGCTGATAGTGCTGTACAGCTGCATGTATTACATCATCATTCTGGCCTGGGCATTTTTCTACCTCATCTTTTCTTTCAGCTCCCAACTGCCTTGGGACAGCTGTGATAACACCTGGAACACAGGTGATAGTTTGAAACAACACTCAAGAAGGAACATCTTCTGAATATCATATCTAAATATGCTGGACCAGGGGTTTGCAAACCTTTTTCTTTTTTTTTTTTCTCTTTCTCCGTCTCAGATGATTGTGTAAATCTCGCTGAAAAGAATCTGACCCTCAACTGGACAACGCTGATTAATTCAACCTCTGCAGTTACTGAGTTCTGGAAGTAAATAAATAAACATAAATTACATTATAAGATTTGATAATAATAAAATCAAATCTTGCAAGAACATTCCACATTAGCAAATTATAAAGCATGATAGTTGCTCTCTTTTGTCAAATTTTTTAGACACAGAGTGTTGACTCTCTCTGGGGGTATTGAGGAGGTCGGTAAAATCAACTGGGAGATTCTTCTGTGTCTCATTGCAATGTGGATCATATGTTATTTCTGTGTCTGGAAAGGAGTCAAATCTACAGGCAAGGTGTGAAAAACTGTCATTGAAGAGAATTTTGTCTTAACACGTTAAACATTTCACAAAATGTCAAAATTTACTTAATTCTTAAGTTTGTCTATTTTCTTCTTCATTTACAGTTTTTATATAGAAATTATTTTTGCATTCATTATTATGGAATGTCAGTACAGTATTTTGCCTGTTTATTGAAATTAGTAAAACTATTATTATGCATTTTTAACCTTTCTTGTATTGTGCCTCAGGTGGTGTATTTCACAGCCACATTCCCTTACGTGATGCTACTGGTGTTGCTGATTCGTGGGTTGACTCTTCCTGGAGCTCTGCAGGGGGTTGTGTTTTACCTGTACCCTGAACCGGCCCGTCTCGCTGACCCACAGGTAACCCCACCATGTGCCCTTTCCTGGAATCAGGCTTAATAACCCTTACACATAGACTATATCAGTTGATATTACTGTATAACGAAATGTTTTTTACATAGTCTATTTAATTACATTCACAACCAGTAAGAAGTATATGTTATTTTCTTGTTATAAGTAGCAAAATCAAAGCAAAGTATCAAATTAGCATTAATATTACAATTCTTGGGCCCCTTTTCAAGTCCTTACTCCTATTATGTTGTGCATTTAGGTTTGGATGGAAGCAGGAGCTCAGATCTTTTTCTCATATGCTTTGGGTACTGCCTCTCTTACTGTATTAGGCAGCTACAATAAATATAACAATAACTGCTACAGGTTAGTTCGGTTCGATAATATGATATTTTTTCAGTATCTTTCTTTTTCTTCAAGATTCTCTTGAACTATACTGCATGTATACTGCTACCTTTGTTTAAGTACTTCAAAAGTATTCTTACTTCATTGTATCTTGAAAGGTATGGTGTGTCTAAGTTGCATTAACTTATCAGTGATGGACCTCAGGGTTCGTTTGGCCCCATCTTCTCTCTTCTACAAAACATAATTATTGATTTTCACACGTATAATCTATGTTTTCCCTAGGGACAGCTTATGGCTTTGCCTTCTGAACAGTGGCACCAGTGTTGTAGCTGGCTTTGCTGTCTTCTCAGTTCTGGGCTTCATGGCTCAAAAGCAGGGTGTCCCCATTGAGGAGGTGGCAGAATCAGGTACTGCAACATTCTTTGAAATTTTGTAAAGCTTTAGAACACTAAATACTCAGGAAAACATTCTATCTCTGTCTTTCTTTCAGGTCCAGGATTAGCTTTCATAGCTTATCCACAGGCAGTAGCTATGATGCCTTTCCCGCAGTTGTGGTCTGTTTGTTTCTTCATCATGATTATTTTGCTGGGACTAGATACACAGGTGAGGTGAAATTCAAAACTGCACACAGAGGTGTAAAACCTTAATCATGACCCATGTTTGATGAGTATACTGATAAGTTAAAGCCTTTCTAAGTTGGGAAGCTATGTTTATGTATACAGATGTAATATACAGAACATCTTCTGATGCACTTTCGTTCTGCATCCCCCAAAGTTTGTTGCGATGGAAGTTTTCATGACATCAGTGATGGACCTGTACCCCATGGTACTGCGCAAAGCTGGACGTCGAGAAATATTTCTTCTGCTTTTCTGTGTTTTTTGCTTCTTCTGCCAACTTGTCATGGTTACAGAGGTTTGTGTTTGTATAACTTGCTACATACATACTTTCAAACCTTTAACATTGTATGCTGTATACGGTTACAAGCTACTACTTTTGAAAATAGTAGGCAATTGAGTTGTAATTTTGCATTGTGACCTACAGGGGGGGATGTATGTATTCCAGTTGTTCGACTACTATGCCTGCAGTGGAGCATGTCTTCTTTTCCTCTGTGTTTTTGAATCTTTGGCCATGGGTTGGGTTTTTGGTGAGTTGCACAAAAGCTGTTTGTTCAGTTGTTCAACTGTTCTTGTTCAGTCATGAAACTCTAAATTGTGCAAGCTGATAGTCCTTTACATGCAATCTGCAAGCTGTCTCACCATTACCAGAGGGCACAAGCTGATTGGCCTCTGCTGATTCTGCTGCTAATCAAATTGCTTGCTCAACATTTAAATAGTCTGGTTCAGTATTTGCTGTAAGTTGGTCCTTCAGTGCATTATCGGAGTTCATCTGAAACCCTCTACCTCCCCCAGCTCCACCTGCCTAGAACTACTATGGGGTTTATGTATGACTATTCATGAGGCAGCTTACATGCTCACAACAACGTGTATGTAGCCTATATCTAATTACTGTAGCAAGTACTTGTACTTCTGCAGCATGTGTAGCAGATCTAGTCCGCCAATTCCAAATACATAAACATTGCCATATTATTAACTCTTTCCCCACCAGCGTTTTTTTTTAAGTTGACAGCCACCGCCAGCATTTTTGATCATTTTCAAAAAACTTCCATGGCCCCCAGAACAGTGGCGTAGGCAGAAATTGTATTTTGGGCGGGCCAGTGAAAATGTGAGTGGGCCTATAGTTTTTCCTAGAAAAAAACTGACTTAAATAATAATTAAACCTTAGATAGAAAAATTAATTGACAAACTGCAAAAACAGTTACACCTTTATTTCGCAATATTCGGCAAATCATCATGTTCAACCAACAGAGCTCAATAAAGGCTGGACAAACCAGTATAGACAATAACCTGTCTATTTTATTCAGGCTAGTCAACAGTGCAAAGACAGTTCACCCGAAAATAAAGTAAGCTAAAATAAAAATATCGCAGTTAGATCGGCGGGTAAACCCGCGTCAGGCTGACCGTGAGAGAGGGAGCAAGAAGCGGCCGCCACCAGCACCTGACAAGCCTTCTTGTGGGTTAATGAGTCTGAAGAACTGGGCTGGGTGGACTCGGTAGAGGAAGGCAGTAGCGTGTCTTCTTCCTCAACTCTTGCTTTTTTCAAATAGCACATTAAAGAAAGTTGTTTAGACCTTATTGTGGCGCCAGCGCCGCTGAGCAAAAAGCTGAGATAATCACATTTTTGTCAAAAACTTCATCCAGATCGGATTCAGAAGAAAGATTAAAACACAGATGGCAGTTGTAACGGACACTATTTTTTTAAGTTAGGTGGAAGGCTAGTGCACTATGGAACTCCGGCAAGAAGTGTGACAGGAGACACAATATTGTTTAACTGTTTATCTCTTCAGGATGTTTCAATATACATGTCCAGCATTATACAGCCATTAGCCCAAACAGAGGTGGTAAAATGTGGTTTAGTCTGAAATAAACAAATAAATATATCAGCATATGTCTGAATACAGTCAACATAAAGATTCACCTCAGTATCTTCTATACATAATAATATTCTCCACAGTGCGGTAAATGGCGCTAAACATATGCAAGCAGGGCCGGATTATCCATAGACGGGATTGGGCGAGTGCCAATAGGGGAGCACCCAGGGTCGGATTATCCAATGGGCATTATGGGGCCCAAATGAGTGGAAGAAACAATAATCCTTCTCTTTTTTACATTTTCAATAACGGAGCGTATATATTTGCACTAAGTAAAACGTTTTTTGGTAAAATTTGGTAAAAAGACACCCGCCTTTAAATATCTACAGTGGGGTAGGGCGTGAGGTGCTTGACTTGCCAAACTTGCTCTTCTCCCTTTTCCCAACACGTATGAGATAAAATGTATAGCCTAACATAAAGGTCTCTAGCGTTATATTTTACCAACAAACTAAAATTGAAACCGTGATATGGCTTTGTGCCTTTATAAAACAGCAAAAGACTTTAATTAAGTAGCCTAGCCTATATAGGCAGTCTGTTTGTGCTGCGTGATTTAAAGAAAAGTGCCCACTTTGCTCACGCGATCAGCATGGTGATCTGGTGTTTTCTCCAAAATAAAAGCTTAAGGTTTTATTTCTTGCAAGTGAAGAAATTAGGACAAAAGTATTGTAATTTTCTTATACTATAGTGCAATGTAAAATATACTGAAATATTCATTGTCATTTATACAGTACATTTATAGGCTATATGGATTATGGATTTATGTCATAGGAATAATTATATAAATCATTATTATTATATTATTATACTAATTGTTTGGCATCCTAAAACACCAGAGATAATGTAATGTAGACTGAGACTCTATATCATAACTAAAAGGATGTTTGAGCCCTCTTTAATGCCCAGGTACAAGTCAATGCTTTTTCTGTGTTCAATGTGCACAGTTCATGGGTTGAACCGGGTTGAAGCTCCTAATTTTGAGCTCTCAAAGTGCACCAGATTGATGCATTTAACCTTAAGGTGTACAATATATCTTGGTGGGAGAGGCACCAGGTGGCGTAGTCGGGAACCGTTAAGTTAGATCGGTTCAAAGTCAGCCACTATCACAATTACCCCTTTTCCACCAACGCATTTTGAGAGCCGGTTCGGAGCCGGTGCCTGCGTGCGAACCAGTTCTTTGTGTTTCGACAGCCAAAGAACCGGTTCTCGGCCAGGAAAACTGGTTCCAAAGCGGCACCAACTCTTTGCTGGACTAGAACCGTTCTTTTACCACGTCATACTTACCTCGGGGGCTGGGGGCGGGTTTAGATAACATATTTTCTGACATAATAGGATCGCAAAGCCAGGAGAAATATTTGCAGAAACACGATGTAGTCCGCCATTGTAATTGTTATGCTTGAAGTTGGCGCAAGCGTTTCTATTTTTTTTTTTTTTTTTTTATTGAAAACGTTATGCAAGCAAAGGAGAAAACAGTCACAATATAGAACAAATAAATGGAAAGAAAAAAAGACACAAGACAGGAGTACATAACTAATCAGAAAAGATGACATATCAAAGGAAAAGATTAAAAGACTTACATATTTCAATTGTTTTTAAAGCCTTCTTGGTTCACGAGTTAGAGATAATCCCAAAGTAATGTTGTACTTGCAAGCGTTTCTAGCTAAGATGTATGGCGACGTACACAGTGACGTAACGACGTCGTTCGCTGGGCGCTCTAGTCAGTGGAAAAACAAACAGGTTCTGAGAAGGTTCGCAAGTTGAACCAACTCCGAACCAACTTTGAACCAGCACCAGTTCCGAACCAGTTCGTTTTTGGTGGAAAAGGGGTAAATGTTATACCTAGTCAAGTCCACTTTAAATACGTGCACCTCAAAACTAACAAAATTCACCACCGAAACCGGCGTATAATTTTTCACAGAAACCTTAAAAAAAATGGACACCTCAACAAACTCATCTCCATACCGGCGTGATGGCTCCGACCTCCAACCAGATGGAACTGGATAAATATTGTGAATGTTCCGATCCAATCTGACTTCTGACCATACCTGTCAACACTCCCGTTTTTTAGCCCTATCTCCCGGACCCCTCCCGATTTGTTATTTCTCCCGGGAACTCCCGTAATTTGCATGGCCCAAACTCCTTTATGAATAATCGGACCAATATGTTTGTCTAATGTTGACCCGTTGCCAGATCTTGTATTAAATGCATTATATTCACACAATCCACACACCATATACAATTTCAACCGATTTGTCATCTCAACCTGGCAACCTATAACCCAGTTGCGCAGCCGCAGAAAGCTTAACCTGAAAGAGAGTTAAAGTGCTATATAAATAAAGGTGACTTGACTTGACAAATACTGTCTTGAGCACACAGAATTCAAGTTAAAGCAGAACTAAGTAAGAATTCCGTTTTTGTCAAACAGCGACCCCTAGAGTCGCTGTGGAGTACTTGTACTGTCGTGAATAGCACTCACGCAGAGATGGCTCTGCACTCACGGCCGGATCCCCTCCCCCTGTACACCGGTACCTGTTCAGTAGGATGGACGCTGTAACGAGTGGAAATAAGGTGTGGCCCCTTTAAGAGCTGCGCGCGCCCTGCGTCTTGAACACCACATGTATACGGCGCCGGGTTATTTCTGTTTGATGCTCATTTTATCAGAATTTTATCAGATCTGTTTTTTGCCGTAAAGCAATTCGTTACCTCGCGAGACCTGATATCACACGATACTTCCTAACACTGAGGCCGGCGGCTCGCCGGCCCAAAGTTGCAAGTGTGATTTTGCGGCTCACAGGCACCAGGGGGGTGCGAGACGACCACCATTCAACACGAAATCAGTAATATAAACATTACAATGACTCCAAAGCTGTTCGGTTAAGGTAAAAAAGTTACTTAGTTCACCTTTAAGTTGAAAAATATGCATTTCCATACATGCTCGCAACAATATTTTTATGTTTTATTATAAAAAGTTAAGCTATCAAAGAAAGATATTTTTGGAGTGATATTATTTTGAAAAATAAAAAGAAATGTGACACGTGAAAGCACAAACACTGTTCAATTACACATTTTGCAGTTCAGGCACCCTTGTGTGCTGTTATCAAGGACATGAATAGCTGATCAAATTACAAAGATTACAAAAAACAAATTAAAATAATAGCAAGAGTTTGTCATGGAATGGGTGGATTAGGGTGCGAGGACTCAAGTGCAGAAACAATGGGTAAATATTTATTAAGTAAATAAACAAACAAACAAACACAAACAAAACTCCCTCGTGGGGGAAAACGTGAAGAAAAACAGGCAGGATAAGGAAACACGAGGAACATGGAAAACTTGGACAATGAACCAGCACAGGACTGCAAACACAGGGAGACTAAATAGGGAAACAAACATAAGAGGGTAATGAACAAGGCAGGTGGGGCAAATCAATCAATAATCAGGTAACAAGATGAGAGGGGCCAGACAATTGACAAGAGAGCACATGGCACAAGGAATACAAGACAAGCCATGTGCTCACAACAAACCAGACTAAACAACAACACATGACAAACCGGGAATGTCAGAGCTCTGTCACCAAACCAGATATAAACCAAACAGAGGTGACAGAACCCTGACAGAGTTGAGCATCTTTTAGTTTGTGTCACTCTTGACTAAGTCTTGCATCTCTGTGATGAAGGTGTTTTCTTCCATTTCAGCTTTTTGCTTACAGATAAAAGGGAGGTTTGTGTCAGGACTACACAGGTGACGCCAACGCTGTCAAGAAACCGACACAGTGAAACAACATCTGTTAGTTGATTTACTCTTGTTTTTTTAATGCAGTTTAGCTTTGGTTAATAGTTAAAGATATACATCTCTGCTCTGATTTTATCTCAGTGGCTTGTTCATCTCTTGATCATGTTTAATCCCACCTGTTTTAGGCTTCCTTTCTCAGTAAACAGTCGGATCAGCGCCCATCCAGGCACCAGCAGAATGGAGGACAGGGCCAGTAACCAGCCTAGTGCGTACGCCCAGTCCGGGTACACATACCAGCGGTTAAAAGTGAGAGGTTTGTACTTAACCATTGAACAGACAAAAGACACCTGAAAATGGACAGAAGAGAGAGAAAATTTGTAAAGAATTAATAGAAAAGAAAAAGGACAAATAAATCAGATGAATGTAAGTGGCTTTAGCCAGGAATATAAAACTATATAATGCCCAGAGAGATTTGGAGACCAGCAGAGGCACTTACAAGGGACACGAGAGGAGTCAGGTATTTCCAGCACAGCATGAACATGTAATTCGGTCGTGAATTTGTCATGTCTTCAATTACATCAAACATTCTCTCAGCCCCTGTGGTGTTAGGGAAGAATTGAGCATCACTGGCTTTTAGATACTGTCATTGTTGTCTATTGTTGTTTCTGATACTGTCATTGTTGTCTGATATCATGAATTTTTGTATTTGATTTATAGTAAAATTTCATTACATTTCTTTCATTTCACACAGTTAGAGGTAAAGTTTTGACAGACATCACAACATTTTACACTTATTAGTTACCGGTGTTCAGAATAGTATTTAAATCATGACAACTCTCAGAGTAGCTTTGGCATTTGAATCGCCATTTACAGGATTTTCCGTATAGGATGCTCCTCAGCAACATTTTTTTTTTTTTTTTTTTTACATTTTAAAAGATGCGATCTCAAGTTTTATGCCCGTGGGTATGTTTGCCTGTTTGACTGAATTTTCGTGGAGTTACAGATCATTTCCGAACGCGTTTCAAATTGGAGTTTGCTGACAGAGAGAGAGAGCAGAACTCGCATCATGTTCATTTTTCTTTATTTGGCAAAAAGCAAAACACTTTATTTTTATTGTGAGTATACAGAAAAAAATAGAAACTGAACAGGATCGATTGATGTATAAAACGAAAATAAAAGATCAAAATTAACAGAGCAGTTTGAGTTTATTTTGCTAAAAAAAAAAGAAAAGAAAAAAAAGAGCAAAACGCACGGGTGCGTTTTTGGTCCCCGGAGGGTTAATCATTTTGATACTATATTCATCCCATACCAAACAAGTACTAGTAACAGAAAAAAATATCCCTTCTGTTTTTAGTGGTGTGGAGTGGGCCCATTCCTGGCAGCAAAAGGATTCTCTTCAAATGAATAAAAATAAATAAAATGTATGTTTTGAACTCCATTTGGGTTTCTGCCAATGTTCCCTCTAATTTTTTTTCTTGCTGAGCAAAACTTTTTTCTATTGGGCGGACATTTTTCTCCACCTGAGCAAAAATATTCTTTATACCTGACCTGTACAGCATACGTAGAAACACAATGGTTTCAACATTCAGTTGTAACTTTTAACTTGAATTTGCCATTTCTATTTTATTTGACCCTTGATGTAACTTATTGGTATTAAATCATATTTTCGAAAAACAAGCTTCTTAACAAATTAAGAAGTCACTAAATGAAGCACATTTTAGGTCACCTGATATTTTTTTTACTGTCTTTACCAAGAAATCCTATGAAAAATAATTTACAAAATCTTCTGCAGGACAGTTCAATTCTTTACAATAATAGAATATAGTATGAAAGAAAAGTAAGCTGTTACACTGAGATGGTTTGGGAAAACCATAAAGTGTTTTTGTACAGTCAATTAATTGTGTACAGGAAGCATTAAACCATCAAAGTTAAATGATTGTTTATTGCTTATGAATTTCCAATATTTTCTTTAGCAGGTTTCAAACTTTTTAATGGCAAGGAGCCCTAAACAATACCCTTGTGAGATTCTTTATTTAGGCTTATAATATAATACAATATAGGCCAAATATAATATAATATAATATAAAAAAACGAATTGAAGTATTTGAAGTGATATAATATATCAGTTTAAATGCTTCAATTTGTTTACATATTATATTATTATAATATGAAAACAAACTGAAGCATTTAAATAGATCTAATAGCTAAATATTTTCAAGAAAAGTGAATGTAAACTCTTTTATAATCTAACCATCCCTGAAACTCCCCCCCCACACACACAAAAACATCTATTTAAACTAATGATGTATTTTGAGTTTTACGCGGGTGGGTGTGTAATTTTTACCGTTCTGTGTCCATCAAGCGTTATTTCCACCACTTTAATCAAACCACTCTTCTTTAAAACATGATGATGTGATTTTATTTCACATGTCTTTGCGTTTCTCGTTACCTCTCGTGTTGAGCTATTTGGTCCTCACACACGACTCACTGCCAATCACACGCGCTCACATTGTTCTCTTTCTATGAAACCTGTAAACTGCATTCACCAGTTTTCACTCTATAGCGGCTGACCAGAGCACTGAAATTATTTCTCACTTAAACTACAATCAAATGGATTTCCCCACACATTTCGCGTCAGTCCTCTGCGTGGCATTTTATTCTTTTCTGCACGCGCGAAGCTTAGAGGGAACATTGGTTTCTGCTTATTTATTACATTGTGTCTATGCTCAATTTGAAGTCATATCTCATCTTTCTGTAGTGGTGAAAAGGTACTTGGAAAATCTCCAATAAATGCGACACATGGAGTTTATTCTCAAGTTGGCTTAAATAGAAATGTACTTAATCCAACCCAATCTCCTTTTCAGATGTTCTTCGGAAACATGTTTTAATATTTCATTATTATACATTGCACTATATGTTAGTTTATTAAAGTTGACATCACTTGATTTCATGTTCTTTTGTCCTCACAGCCCACTGTTCAGAAATACAGCCTTATGGCTTGTTTGACAATTGTGAAGCTCGAATATGAAGTTCAACAAGTAAGACTGACCATCTTCATACTCATTACATCACCTCTATTACATTCTCTCTGCCGCTCTCTCGCTCTCTTCCACTCCAAACTCATCAGCTGACTGTGGGCGTTTTACTACTTCAACCAATCGTATTTTCGTCTCAATCCTCTTGAGCCAATCGTGTCATAGTTGTTAAAGTTTAAAGCTGTTCCTTTCTCTGCTGCTGTCTGTTGTCATTTCAGGCAAATCAATGTGGCCCTCTTCCACCCCATTCACCTCCAGTCCTCATCCCATTCCGCTCCCAGGGGTCCCTCCACTGTGCTCATCAGGAGCTGAGCTCCACATTCATCCAGATCTCAGCATTGCTACTCACCCCTTCACCACCGCCAGATTGTTTGAAATTGCGCAGATCAACAGCCTTGAGCAAACTATCAGTTTAGTTCTAACACGCCCTTCTTTAAAAGGGGTAAGGATACTTAATGTATCATATAATGAGACTAAGTTTGATACTTGCATGTCTCGCCCATTTTAATTAAACTGTCCTGATGCAATTTGTTGAGGTCCCAGTTGATCTTCGCTGATGTTGTCTTGATGAGAGAGAACCAGTGGGAGTCAGAGGATCTTTGGTGAATGGAAAGACAAGGCCGCAGCCTGGCACAAGCTTGGGGGTCCTTAGAAGACTTCTAGTTCAGCATCATCTTCCCATCAGGATTTCAGAAAGGAACTAAGAGACATGATCTTGTGATCAGTGATTTTTAAAGCGTGAAGATGTCACACCCTCTGGAGGTGTGTGAGCCAATAATAAGTTTTCCCTTTGGAGGGAGATTTTACGACCCATTGTGTTCTAGCAGGGCATTTGAATATATACTTTGATTGTGTGTTTAAGAAAAAGAATCTTCAAGATTCTTATAATACTAATGCATCACAAATTTAGAAAAATGTAATGTAAATTAACAAATGGGGGACGAAGATTGGAGTTTATAGAGATTAAACATGCTTCATATATGATTTAGGTTAACCATAGTATGCAAGTCTGAAACATTAATCCAAAATAGTTTAAAAGAGAAAATGAAGACAAAGGCCAAACCACATAAAAGGATAATCATGAGATGGGAAAATTAGATACGTGTTTATACATTTCTCACGTGGTTATATATAGGATATATATATATATATGTATATATATAGGATTAACAGGGTTTATTTCTCCTTCTAGGCAAGAATTAAGTATGGGTCACAATTCCCTGCAAATTCCTTTTGGGGTCGTAAAATTCTTATCAGTCTTAATGTGTCCTGTAACACATTAAGTTTGAAACTGGCACACGTAAAGTTTCATTGACCTTTGTTGGGAGAGTGAGTTTGCTGGATTATTCAGTTCACTCCAAGAAAAAAACAATGTAAAAATTACTTGTTTGCATTTTTTAAGTTATTGGGGCTCTAATAACACAATTAATAAAAATAAATAAATATATACCCCCCAGTTTTTAAAATATAGGCCTCTACCAAATGGTTGAGATGCTGCTTAAAGGTAAAAGTACATATTACATAATTATAAATGTATAATAGCATTTAACTTATCATTTAATACCTACAAAGACAAAAACAAAGTTGAAAATGTAAAAATACCAGGAAACAATTCATGTCAAGTAAATTTTATTTCAACAAAAGAACTTCGCTCCCATTTTCTGCATAAAATTCCAACAATTTCAACGACAATTGTATTGTCAAAAACATATGGGGCCCTCTCCAACTTCTCAACTCTGCTGTGTATAATCTCCAAATAACTTTTGTTCTTGCATTGAATGAACTCAAAAACTAAACAAATCTTTCAAATAAAATGCACAAACAAAATAAGGACCTATGGGAACCTTGGCCACGTTATTTTCGATGGTATGCTGCGAAGCATTCCCTCTCCGATCAAGCACAGGAAAACATTGCACTTCCCACATTTCCATCTTGACACACCCTTTGGGCAGAGGCAGCACCGCCCCCGGTTGTCAGTATGAAGTGGCAAATGTCCATAGTTGTCGTAGCGTATATCTGGTTGTGGTTGGGGGGGTCTTGGGGGGAGGTGCTTCTTCTCACAGGACATTTGTGGTGGAGAGGCAGATGATGGTCTGCCAACTCTGGGTGCTGCCTTGTTGACTTGTTTCAAACTGTGAGCCACAGCCAGGCAAAATCTTTTGAGAGGCTTTGGTTTTTCCTTCAGTAGGCCACAGTCTCTCTTGTAGACACCCCAGGCATTGGTCAAGGAAGTATCCAAACAGGGGGAAGTACCAGCGTCGTGACTTGGCAGGGGTCTTGTACTGGTGAATCAGCATGTCAGAAAGATCAATGCCACCCATATGCTGATTGTAGGAGCAATGAGTGAAGGGCATGGGACAGCAATCTTCATTATCTCGTCTTTGCTCAACCGTTGGACACTTGTAAGGGGCATGATCCCACAGGCATTGCTCAGGAGGGTAACACATTTATTGTCATACCATTTGACTGCGAGTACTCCTTCAGCAGACTTATAGTCAAGAGCTCCACGTCCTCTCTCCATCAGCTCTGTCTTCTATCAGGTGAGCTCCACCGATGCGGTTTGATTGGGCTGTGCCGATGCACTTGATGCCCAGATTTGCGTGCAGGCTCAGGATTAGGTCGAAACTAGTGAAGTAATTGTCAAAGAAGACAACTGAAAGCCGTGGCT